GGACAAAATCAAGGCAGTATTCCTTTCCCTTTTTAGAAACCCAAAACAGCTGTGGTCTGTAGCAGTTGTCGGTTTGCCTTAGAAGCTTAAGGACTTAAGAAAACAAAACCTTTATGGAGATGTGCATTCAGTAAATAAATTCCTCAGTGCCTCTAGCTTTGCCTTTTTCTTTTGTCTTTCTAAGATAAGCTCACAGGTAAGTTGTTTGCACAAGACCATGGAAAACTCTTAACACCTGTTAACAAAGCTCCTTGCATTCTTGTGGGTTTTTAAAGGTTTGTTTTTTTTTTTTTGCCTCCCTTGTTTTTATAGTGTCTGGTTCTCAAGAATTCTGAGATCATATTATTTTGGTTCTTTTTCTCCCAGATTTTTAGTTCTAGTCTATTACAACTACCCTGATGTTATCAAGAACATGTTTCTTTTTAATGTCTTTCATTACAGTGGTCAAAAAACTTGACTTTTTGTGTGTACTTGATTTCTCAACCTCGATGGCACGAAGAGTAACTGGCATTGTAAATCTAATCTTTGAGCTATATCTTAAGAGTGGCTGTCTTTTTATCTAGAAGTTTCTTATACTGTTTGCCTTTTGGAAAGGCACTATTTGGGCACATAGGTTTACAGACGTAATGCATTGAAACAGTAGACATTTTTTTTTGAGTAAACTATAAATGTATACAAGTATGCACCTATATTCAATGATCATATTCCACTGGATGAGAATAACTTGCCACTGAGGCACATATGAGCTGTTCACAAAAACGGAAATAGAATTTTGTCTGTGTTTTTTTTTAAGTTTATGAGGGAAACCTACAGAGGTATGATGTAGGTTGTATGTATTAACAGTTTCATGGTTTTGCTTGTTATGTGAAATGGATTCTTCTCTCTGGAAAAGAGACAGGATCTTTCCCATGCTTTGCTTTTGACTGCAGCTAGGGATATTGTTATAGTGCAGAAGATCATTTTGTTTGCAAACAATCGTCTTCTTTGTTCTCAATACAGTGTAGAATGAGCAGGATTTTTTAAAAAGCCCTATGCTGTGATCTTCGTGGTGGAACGATGTGAAAAGATGATGGCTTTTTCTCGTGCTGCAAGAAGGAATGGATTTCCTTTGTGTTTACAGTACTGCCAAAGTATTAAATCACTATTGATTTGAAAGAACAGAGATTAATCTTAAGTATCTGTAAAATATTGCTACAAGGTATTACATTTCAAGGTAAAGTTTCTTCTATGCTCTTTTTTTTTTTTTTTTGAATAGGCCGAGACCATTTTCCGTGAAATGTTTCCTACAGAGGAATTTTGTCCACCACCACCAAATCCGGAAGATATTATTTATGATGAAGATGAGATTGCAGCAGAAGAGTCTGGATTCAGTAATTCAGCAGAGACAAAACCTGAATCCTCAACTGAGGGAAGCAGTAGCGGAGATAGTAGTGCTGTTAAGAAGGAAGATAACGAAGAATGAGTTAACACTGTTTTCTTAGTAGAAGAGGAGGTTGACCCAAACTAGAATGTGAGGGAGGAAGGGTAAGAAAAAGAGGTTTAAAAATCCCATAGCTGTATTATTTGCAATTGCCTTACTTTCCTTAGCTGAGTAATCTTTTTTTCATCAGGTAGCTTCATTGATAGCTGAGATATTTCTAAGTAGGTCCACCATATCCAGGGGTGTTTGTAGCTAAGCAGAAAACACAGAACAAAGCATTTGAATTTAAAATGTTAAGATTCATGATCTGTTGAGATAATTTCTTTTCATTTTACATCTTGGAAGGAAACCTCCATCTTTTAAAAGAGAACAATTTGAACCTAATCAAAGAAAAATTGTGCAAGTTTGTTTACCAGATGGTCTTGTGATACAACATATCAAAGTTCTACTAAAAGTCATTGGACCAGTGCTAATGAAACAGTGGAAGGTGAGCTTCACAATCTGTTCCTCAAAGCAGTTTTATGAATGGAACTTAAAGGCAATAATATTGACAGTTCTGGAGTAGGTTTAGAATATGTAATAGATGTCATGTTTAATTTGTATAATGAAAAATTTTTGTATAGTTTTAAAACTGATGCCGTAATTCAGAAGCAAATACAACCCAGTAGATGTTCCTCAGATGAAAATATTTTCCATTTGAATTTTATTTTTGTTCAGTAAGACTTAATGGATCATTCATTGTCACTAGTGACTTAATTTACTGTAGTCAGGAAAATAGCACAATTTAAACTTCATGCAAAAATTCCCAACAAAATGTAAAATCATAAATGGAGTGTGCCCGGTGTTAGTTGCCCTGGATTTGTTGCAGTGTTTGGGCCTTTAACAAGGCAGTAGTTAACTTTTTGAAGTATGATGTCTTAAGAAGTTTAGATGATGATTAATTGAGGGGTTTTGTAGCAGGGAGAAGGTTCAACTGAGGATTCCAAAGGATTGTAATGATCCCGGTTAATAGGATTAAAATTAGTGTGGTAGCTGTAAATGATGTGTTTTGTAATGATAAATCATAAAGCATTTATACAATAAAATTTATTGAAATATTTATAAGCAGTTTGTATGAAAAATTACAAAATGAGAAAGCTGTTGTAAATGACCGTGATAAACTTGCACTTCTGAACAATGCTTGAAATTAGACATTAAGATGGTGAAAAACAGTTAGAATTTACTTAAACCTTTACCGTAAAATGTGCACCCAATAGATGAGTAGTGTATCGAAATAGAGAAGTGATTTTTGATGAGTCAGGGTTTAAACTTCTTCATTAACTTAGCTCTAGTTCTAGCAGTGCTTAAATAGTGTGCGTAACTGGAAAATGCCATTGAATAATGAATATTCAGCACTGCCTGAACTTGACACATCCAGGCTTCTGTACGGTTTCGTGGTGCATGTGCTTGACTTTAAAATGGCTTCATGCCATAAAGGTTAATTTATTTATTTATTTTTTTACAGCGTAACTGATCCTGTTACCTTCACCCTGTCTTGCAGCATAATACATTGTCCAGTTTGCATTTCAATACTTGGTTTATTAGTGTTTGCAGTTGTTGTTTACTGGATAGCTACCATTGTGTGTATAATCCCAAAGTCCTCAAAAATGTATGTGGTTGAAATGTTTCCAATGTTAAACAACAGTTATCTTTGGATGCTTGTGATTGAGCAGTTATTTATACATAGTAATAAGTAAACTGCCTCTTCATGTAGCTGTATTTTTTACATGTATTGGAAAGCATGAGTATATGGTAATCATATTTAACATCTAGAGATCTGTAAAAGAACTGAGGGGAGGACCTTGTTCCTGTTTGTCTTTTGGTAATAGGGATCATAGTTGAATTTTTCATCTTCTGTGCTTACAGGGAAATCATTTGATGAAAATTAAAGGTTTGCTTGCAAGCAGGTTTTCTTGTGTTTTCTTTCAATTACACAAGAGAAGCAGTTTATTTGTTAGCTGAGATTTCCCAAAAATTCTGTTATCTACTTTCATAGTGTTGACATCTGTAATAAGATTGAAATTTACATGGGTGATAGTATGTTTATATAAGTTAGGAAGTTCATATAAAGTAACATCTCAGTGCTTCATGTCCATGTGAAGCAAAGTTTGGAAATACTGCAAATTTGATTTTAGATAAGATGGAATAATCTACAAGTTGTAGACTGTGACTTTACACTACATTGATTGCTTAAAAACTGTTTTCATGTCTCGTTCGTATGGTGAATGGAAACATAAAATGTTTTCTTATGGTGCTTGAGTACCCAATAGCTCACTTGCAGTAGCAGTAGAAAAGATTGTTGATCTTGCATTTTACAGAAATCTTCCCCTGAACTGCATTTTGTTCTTGCTTTTAAATAGTTTTAGCATACAAAGTGAGGGTTAGGCTTATTTGAAGTAGTTTTTAAGGCTTGTCATACAGGATGTATTCAAAAGATAACATGACTTTTAAAAAACTGGCAATTTATCTGTAGGATTATTAATAAATCAAGTTAAGGAAAGATAAGGTTAATTGAATTTTTAAACAAGTAGCTGTATTATCCTTCAAGCACCTTGGAGCTCATACAGTATTCACACCTTCTTTTTTCGTAAGGAGTGCTTTGATATGTTTGAATTCCTTTTTTAATGAGCACTTTCTTTTTAAGTTGCTTAATTGCATTAACCCTTAATATGCAAACAGCCAATTTGATGCCATTTTCCCTTCTGTGGTTGTATTGCCTTATCTGCACAACTGCAATTAGTTACTGTTCCTTTGCAAGTATTTTCAGCCATGAAGCTGCTACGTCTGCTTTTTCTGGTGATGATGATGCTTAGGGCCATTTGACAGGTAATCATTAGAACTTAGATCCTTGCAGACTATGGGGTCTCTTCTCCTATAATTGCAGGGGGATTTATGTAGGTAACTCCTATTAATGTTAATGGGACTTGCATGTGTAAATCCTCCTTGCATCAATGGGAAAATTGACCCCTGAAAAAAGTATCTTCATGTTAAGACTTGCTGATTCAGAAACATCCTGTATGGAAATGTGATGGAGTATGTGCTTTGTGCCGTTTCAGTGAAATGCTCTGAAGAGGACGTAGGGAATTTCCTGGGCTTTTATCATTTATATTGTATTTTGTATTTTCTATACACCTCCAAATCTTGTCAATTCTCTTTATGTAGCTGGTATCAATTTCCCATTCCATATTCAGGAGGTTGCATGGCTCCTTTTGCTTTGGATCTCATTGTATTTTAGGCCCATCTCTTTCCTCTCCAAATCTTTTTACATCAGCAGCGTGTTCTTAATGTTCTTAATTTCAAGAACAATTTGCTACTAATGTATTGGTTAATGGCAAGTCAGAAGTATTAAAATACTGTTTTCACACAGTAAGACACTAGGTCACTTACCATCCATAATCTCATCTGTTAAAAGGATAAAATTAATTTCCTCAACCCTTTTCCACGCTTGGAGTGGGAAAACATGTGAACTGCCTACTTGCCTCGGGTGGTGGAAAGAAGAAAGAAGAGACAGACAAATGGAAATAGCTGAAGTAGTGGGAGGATAAAATGAGGGCTGTTTGTCATAACTTCCATACTCTGAGATCAACTAAGTCATGCAATTTTATTTCCACTTTTGCTATGTGAGATTTCTACATGGTTTCTGGCAATTTATGGACTTTGAGGAAAAAATATGTATGTACATTTTGGAATGAGGCAACAGCAATTAACCAAGAGTGGAATAACATGTAAATGGAGTAATACCTAGCATACGCACTGAGGGCTTCACAGTATGAGTGTTATTTTTTTCTTTATCTGTGGATATGTTTATCCACTCCTTATTTTGTTGCTCAGACAGTTACTTCTGTACATCATTAATACAATCCTCTCCAGTACATTTTAGGTTTTCACTTATCTGACAATTTTATATCAGTAGCACATCATCCCTGTATAAAATACAAAATCTGGTGTCAGTACTGTTCTGAACTGCTCCAAATATCTCTCCTAGCTTTTCTGTCATAATGAGTGTTCTCTTCACCCATGAATTACCAATAAGCTCTTGGTGGATTGTCTGCTGTTGATGCCCTTTTTTATTTCTCCTTGGAATTCTGTGACTGCAATTAATGCAGTTGCTAATTTTCCACATAAGGGAGCAGTTTACTGAGATCACATCATGAAAATTAATTGATTTTTCTGTAGGTGTATACAGTTCAAAACAGATCTTTTTTTCAAATAGTATGCATTAGTTTTGTGCAGGTGAATAGATAAATGTATGTTTTATGGCAAAATGAGTAACTCATAAAAATTTATCATTTAAACTTTTGCAGAAATCAACCACTGTAGAATGTCCAAAAGTTAGAATTACCTGCTGTTACCAAAACTGTCAAAATAAGTGGGAGAGTTGTGGTGGCAGGGCAGTTGCTTGCATTTCTTGGGTAAGTAGTAATACGAAGTATTTCTCATAAGGTGTAGAAGTAGTTGTGACACTGGAAATTTGAGACACTGATATAAAATGTTCATCTATTGCAACCCAATTTAATAGTAAGGTTACTTCAATAATCAGATGGAAATCTTAAGTTTGGTGGGTATGGTTTCAAGAAGAACTTCTTTAATGTGATAAAAGTTACAAAAGAAGGATAATTTCAGCTGTAAAGGTAAGTAGTAGGTAGTGGTCAGCCATGTTGGATTCATGTCATCAGCCTCATACCTAGCAAAAAGATTACTTTTGGTGGAAATAGAGCTTATTAGCAATTCCACCATTACGTTTATTTAGAGGCTGCCAGTTCCTGTTTGTAAAAGTGAACGGTTCTTCACAGTCTGAATGGAGAGCCAAGCAGGAATGTTGTAAATCTGAATGACATTTGAGATTCAGAAAGTTGACAGTGAAGTGTCAGGAAGACACAGTCTTTGACTGCATGAGAGTTCTGATCAGAGGAGGCTGATAGAAAATACTCTTCCTGTCACAATTCTAACAGACCATGTGTTTTACGCTACTGGCATACAATGACAAAAAAGATGGAAGGTATCAACCTGAGTGTATATCAAGACCCAGATGTATTTGACTAAACAATGGTTGCATAGACAATGGTTGACTCCCAGTGTGTATAACACTGCTCAAGTGGCAGTTTTATGTCTCTTCTCAGTCTTGGTGAAGAGCTGTTGCAGGTTTTATAACTGGCCAGTATACTGAATTCAGTAGTACATTTTTTGACCTGATTTTAGTTTTTCATATTACCTATCAGTTTTGGGGGGGGGTTATTCAAAAAAGATTCATGCATCAGGTAGAACTAAAATATTTTCTTAGTGACAATGTAATCTTTTGGTTACCATAAGATGCAGGGTGCAAGAAGGTTGAGCTGTTAATACAGCAATAGCTGATTTTTAGGAAATCTCAGAACACCCGCATTTTTAGATACAGATTTTCAGGATCTTACACTTCCTTCAGAAGTGCCACCTCATAATTTATAATATATTTGGGTCTCTGAAGAAGGCTTTAGTGCTGTTCCTCTATTCCCTATGGTTAAGATTTTAGTAAGTGGGGCATACAAAGGCTATGGACACTCCGTCTGTCCTCTCAAACAGAGGAAGCTTCTCTTCTGAGGTGTTATGACATGATAGCAATCACCACTGGGGTGTGGTAAATGTGCCTTTGGCTTGGACAGCTGCTTTTTGCTGCTCCTACTTTAGGAAGCTTGTTCTCTAGTTGAGTACTGGTAGTTTTCTCATTCCTTTTCTTTTGCTCTAAGCATGGAGCAGGGACTAAGAAATACTTTGCTGTTGGAAGTGATTGTTGTCTCAGTTCTGAAGCTCTTAGGTTAGCAAGTCATAGGGGCACAATGATAAAACCTCTGGATAATGTCATGCCAGACTGCAGTTCATTGATACCTCAAGGCCTGCTTCACAAGCCATAAAACTGGTGTGGTGTTTGTTGGTAAGCTGGTATTCTGTATCTGAGTTGAATGCCCAGACTGAGGAACAAGTATTTTGATTACTGGCTGACATCATAGTGGCAGCTCAAGTCTATTACTTACAGGAGTCTTTTCTCTAAAAAACAAACAAAAAAATCACAAATCCAGACACTCCTGGGCTATGGTTTAGACTCTGTGTACATTAGAGACTCTTAATGGCCAGTGTGGAATTCTGAATGTAGTCTGTTTCAAACCCGAGCATATTTCTGGAGCTCACCCAAGGGAAAGCCATTTAATCATGATGAGAGACCAGCTGTCAGACCAATGTAACAAAACATTTCTCTGCTCTGGGAACTTCTCAGTAGCGTGAAAGTCACTGCAAGCCATGCTTGAGTCCTGTGTTGTGAATAAATTATCCGGTGAATTTAGCCTTTCTTTCCTGTGCAAAAATTTGCGTAAGCTTTGGTTAAGCACCGTCAGGGAATAACTCTTAGACTGTGGATTATTCAGAGCAAATCCACTGTATTATTCTTATGGTATTTCATTAGCTAAGTCATGTGATATTTTCCTGCTCCATATTTGGATGCTGAAATAATACCTTGTCCTGGGTTTAGCAGGACCTAACTTAAGGAATGGTGTGTTCATTATTACATCATACAGCTCCAAGAGAGAGAAGAAAAGCACTCTTATGCAAAATAACAAAAATGCTATCTACTAGTAAGGAAGCCATCATAACATAGCTTACTTTGGTGACTTGTACATGATGCTTGCATTTCCTATCCATACAAGTATTAGGCCAGGAAACCTTAGATTACTTTCCAGGCTCTCAAGTCTGAATCTAAAATGAATATATGAGCACAGTAAAAGCTAACAGCCCCTCAGTTATATTGTAAGGACATATTAAGCTCTGCCAAGATAGAACTTGAAATGCACGCTGCATGGAGTACACAGTTAAAAATTTGGTTTGCATCAGGTATTTTCAGATGGCCTATTCCAATGTCATCTCTGAAGTGATGTCTGAAAATGCAGGTATGTGCACGGGTGTAATAAAGGAGGGATGGAGCATTACTGAAATGAAGAGTAACAACCAGCAGTGGATGTGTCAACTTGGGATTCAAGAGAAATGGATATGGGTTTTGGCTCTGGCACTGATTTCCTCAACAAACTTGGTTTAGTAGTTTCCTTTAATGTCATAGGAAAAAGATGTAAAATGATGACAGATATTTTCTGAAGCCTTTTGAGAGGTCAATAAAATATACAAGTATGTATTTGAGAAAGAAAATGATCAGTGTTAATGATAACTGTAAAAAATGGATAGCAGTAATACTTGAGTTGAAGTACAAATGAGTTTTCTGAGAAACATTCAAATGCAACTGTTGCAAAGTGATTGGGATAGCAGATGTTTTGTTAGCCAAGTCAGTTTTCCACCTCTGACATTTTCTGTATTTCACACTTGAAGTTTCACCAATCAGCACAAATTATTTGTTTACTGCTTAGTAAAAATAACAAAATTGTACTTTTTAAAGAACTCACTTTCTGATTATGTATACTCTGCTGGCAGGTTATAATGCATATTGCTTCGTTGTTTACTTAGAACTTAATGCTAATGTCATTAACATTCTGTGTGATAAGTCAGTAGGTTGCCTATTTATAGACATAACAAAAGTTGTAACTTCTTGTAGTAAAGTGCTTTTGACTGTGCTAGCAAAACTAAAGTTCCTCTAACCTGACATTAGCTTTCAGTTTCATTGTCCATGCCCTAGTGAGTCTGAAAAATACTGCTACATGCACTGAATGCATTCTTTGAAATTATTTAATTATTTTAGTTATGTTCTATATTTTTAATAGGGTTTAATTCATCCTTTCCTTTAAGAAAGAAAAGAGAAATAAACCAAATTATGCAGGAATCACAGAAAACGGAGATCTGAAGTTTGAAAACTGTCCTTGAAGACTATTTGGAGTTACAACACTGAATTTAATCATAATCTTCTCCAAATTTTGTTCTGTGATACTTCTTATAAATCAGGTAATTAATTAGGCAGCACTTCACCTTTCAGTTTATTACCACAAATGTGGATGTGTGCTTTATTTGAGGTTAGAAAGTGTAAAATAACTGCTGAATTTTGTACTCCATGTTGCCTCTTTAGTATGAACAATGAATTTAAAGAAGAGATTCAGAGCAGCCCTGTGGAGAGGGACTTGGGGGTGTTGGTCGATGAGAAAATGAACATGAGGCAGCAGTGTGTGCTTGCAGCCCAGAAAGCAACTGTATCCTGGGCTGCATCAGAAGGAGCGTGACCAGCAGGTCGAAGGAGGTGATCCTGCCCCTCTACTCTACTCTTGTGAGACCTCTCCTGGAGTATTGTGTGCAGTTCTGGTGTCCTCAACATAAAAAGGACATGGAGCTGTTGGAACAAGTCCAGAGGAGGCCACGAGGATGATGTGGGGCTGGAAGACCTCCCGTATGAAGACAGGCTGAGAAAGTTGGGGCTGTTCAGCCTAGAGAAGAGAAGGCTGCGTGGAGACCTCATAGCAGCCTTCCAGTATCTGAAGGGGGCCTATAGGGATGCTGGGGAGGGACTCTTCATTAGGGACTGTAATGATAGGACAAGGGGTAATGGGTTAAGCCTTAAACAGGGGAAGTTTATATTGGATATAAGGAGGAAATTCTTTCCTGTTAGGGTGGTGAGGCACTGGAATAGGTTGCACAGGGAGGTTGTGAATGCTCCATCCCTGGCAGTGTTCAAGACCAGGTTGGACGAGGCCTTGGGTGATATGGTGTAGTGTGAGGTGTCCCTACCCATGGCAGGGGGGTTGGAACTTGATGATCTTAAGGTCCTTTCCAACCCTAACTATTCTATGATTCTATGAATTCTGTAAATTTCTTTCTGCACAGCCTTTTTCTAAGCATTTGTAATACCTTGGTTGCATTAATAATCTCATTTTCTAGGAAAGTGTTTAAGTAAAAGCAGTGGGATACCTGTAACAAAAACCAGTAATCACAGAAATGTGAATGAAGTGTGCTTCAAGGAACTTCAAAAATGGTGTTATGTCCCCTGGCCTAGACTGTGGCCCCAGCAGCAGGAGGCCTGGCTGGGACACCTCAGCAGTGCAGCAGCAGAGCACGTGCAAGGTGAAAACAGGTATGTCTGTAGGCAAAGCTGAGGAAGAAGGTCTGTGGTGCCTCCATTCCCTGCTCCTCTCAGCTACCATGCTGAGGGACCTGGCACCCCTCTCCCATCTGCTTGCATTTGTGATGCCTCTTTTGTCCAGTACACACTCCATAACTCCAGAGGGAGAAATAATTCCTTCTTCCTAGGTGGTTACATCTGTCGCTTCCTTCTTGAGAAAATACAAACAACGAACCAAATCCGTGATGCAGTGCAGTGCAGGATGGCACAACTGCACAGATGTTTTTTTGGGGTTACTCCTCTGAATTTCCTGAAGCTTTGCTGTTGATAAATAATGGCTTCTCTGACCAAGGATGATCAGTGCCAAGTGGAAGGTATTGTTATGGCTCCTCAGTGTTCAGCCTGTACTTGCTGTTTTCAGCTCCTCAGGAGCTGAAGAGATGAACCAGCTCATCCTGCACAGGGAAAACTAAATGCAGCTCTGGATGTAAATTTCAAAATTTTGTGGATTTTTGGAATATGAGGTAAGTTCTGAGTTCTTTTAGGCACTTTTGTGGCTGTCATCTTGGTGATTTTGCAAAGAAGACTTAAGAACTAAACAATCTAAAAATATTGTTCTCTAAACTTGATCAGAATCTCTGCAGTGCTGGGCTGAGAGAGCCTTCCTCTGGGGAAGCTTGTGCTGCACTGCTGTCTGAAGGAGCTTGCTTTACAGTGTTGAGTCTGGTTGGGGTAATGGATGCTATGGTATCATCACACTACAGGGTTTAAACCTATTCTTAGTGAAATCAATAGATATTTTTCTTGTAAAGCCACATGAAAAGGTTTTTAAAGGATTATTGGAATTTTTGGATTACCACAGATGAATTCATTCTGTTTCACTGAATTGAATTACAGCATCATATCTGTTGCTAGTATATTAATAAAATGTATGAAGCTAGCCTTAAAAGGTAGCTCCTTTGTGAAGAGACTTTTTTCTTTAACAATAAGCAGGAAGGATTTTTCAGAGATGTGTATTTTTCCCTGAGTAATGTTGCATACAGACTGGAGATTGCTTCTTCTATTGAATTGCATAATGAAAAATCAATCAGTTTAATGGTTGACAAACTTTGACATTCAAATAAAAATGTTGCTGGTATTTTCATAAAGACCTGTAGGCAAAACTATATTCAGTGACTTTAATTTATGCAATAGCAAATGTCTGCCAAAACATTGTACAAATGACTGTATAATGAAGCAATAATAACTATGAGGAACGGAAGCAAAGCAAACAAAGGCCAAATTTCTCAGTTTTTACAACTTATATAATTTTGCAAAGCCTTTCATTGAAAGGTATGTTTCTACAACATCCTTTTCAACAATACTGTTTTGAAAGCAATTGCTCAGCATCATGGAACACATTTATCTGGCACTGTTGCATAGTATCATATGAGAATGTTTAGTTTTTCTACTTGTTCAATCTTTTACCCAGGCTGCATTTACTTCTTGACCACTTCTTATCTTACTGTATACTCTGCAAAAAACAGCTAATAAAAAAATCCTTGTTCATAGTGGTTATATTTTTCATGTGCCTGCAAGCAAAATAGAAGGATAAGAGAAGTCCTTCTGCAAAGGAGAAAAACAACAAAAGGCTTGACAGGCTCCTGGCTTTGCACCTGTGCTGGTTGTTTTGGTTTGGGTTTTTCTTTTTATTTTCTTTGATTCAGAAGGGAGAGAATTCCCAGTAAGGGAAGAGGACACCTTTGTTCCTCACTCATTTCTGCTTTTAATGTATGTTTGAACACAGTACTTGGAGGAAGAGCAAAAGGCATGCTGAGCTACACTATCACTTTCAGCCTTTAGGCACTACCATCCTAGAGGCAGGAGACTGGCTTGGTAAATGCCATTAGCCTCTGTGCTCAAGTGTTGTCTAGCCATGAGACTTTCAGTAAGTCCAAGTTTTGGTTGTGACCATGTGCATCAGCTTTGTTGGGCTCTTTGGATGCAGTCTTTGAGTAGCAGTGTTGGTAGCAGTGACTGGAAAATGTTGACTTGCTTTCTTCCTTTTAGCACCAAGATAGCTCTTACATCTTCTAAGCTTTGCACAACTTGTCCTGTGCTGAATTCCAGCTCTCACAAGAGAACTTGTGGCTGCTGCACAGGCACCTGCCTGTGCGACTTCAGCTTTTGCCTGCCTCTTGTTTGTTTGACTTACAGTTATGTTGAGTTCTCAAGGTAGTAACTGTGCCTCTGTTTCAGTAAAGTCTAATAAACTTCCTGGTGCTATGTTAAATAATGTGCCAGGTGACTCACACTGGTTACTTGTGTGGTTTGCCATTTGTTTTCTCAAAGGAAATACCTTTTCATGGTTGGTTCAGGAAGTATAGAAGAGTATTCCCTTTTTGTTTCATGGGATTAATGATAATTATGCTTTTTTTCCACCTTTAACATTCTTCTGATTTTTGTTTTGCTATGATGACTCATTTTAAGCATCTCTGGTTTGTAACTGGCAAAAACAAATTGAGGAAGTTAATTGGTTTCCCTGTGGTCATAGAAGGAACAAATGGTAGATCCCCGATTAAAGCATTGTTCCCATTTTTATCATATAGCTAGAATCAGCATTAAGTTACTCTGTCTTTTATTTCTGTAGTAATCTGTGTGTGTGAACTGCAGCAATTATCTTAAGGAGAAGTCTGTAGTATGTTTTATTCAAGAACTTTTTTTCCATTACCATTGGTATTAATGTCTAGATAGAAGCTAGTATGGTGTCTATTCCCAAGTGTAAAAAGGTTTTGGACTTGTTGTTGTTGTTTAAATATAGCAACTGTAGTGTTTGTATTGATGCATCTCACAAGTATTTAATTTTTCTGGGGGCAAAATGTCATGCCATGTTTGCACTTTGTAAAAGCTATGGCAAGGACAGAGATACAGCCATGGCTCAAAGTCATGTCCAGTGTGCAAACTGGCCACACTGGACATGACTCTGGACACGGAGTCCGTGAACTCTGTTCTGTTGCAGTAGGGTTCTGGGGCTTTTTCACTCTCTTTTTGAAGCAGTATGTAGTAGGATTGCGAGCTACTGAAAACAAGATAAAGCCTGTTAGCTGTCCCAGTATCAATCATAAGCAAGAGAGCGTATATATACTCAGGTATTTCTTTTCCTGTCATAGATGTGAAAGAACTCTTAAGGCATTGGGGTTTGGTACTTAAAAGCTTAAACAATTACTCATGAGGTCACAAGTTTTTCTCAAGTGTTTAGAAGATTTATGTTTCCTGTTGACACTGCTGCATGAAAGGAGCATGCAAGTTGCATCTAAAGAGCAAGACAATATTTGCTGTTTACTGTTAAGATGAAAATATGCATTAAAAACTAAAAGAAAATACAAACTTGAGGAGGCAGTAACTGATTGACATCTGTGGATGTCATTTTTCTCTTGTGATTCTGGCATTTCATGCCTTGCTAAATATCACCCACAGCTATCTGTTGGATGTGTCAGTAAGCGATACAGTATGACAGCTGCTCCTCACCACTCCACAGCATCAGTTCATTCAGTAATAAGCTCGCATGTGTTTTTATCTTTGTTGTCTCTTTCCTAACAGTTCAAAATAAAAATAGTGTTTGTAACTGACACTGAATTCTCCCCAGTGCTAAGGTCTGGAGTAAGCAGAGTAAGTAAGTTATTAACAGTGAGTCTTCTCTTCTTCCATGACATGGTGCTGTAATGTACATGAAGTTCCTACAAGCACATTGTGCATTCTTAACAGTCGCATTCTGAGCATTACTTATTCTACTGGCAATATAAACAATAACCTATTGTTGATAGGTAATATTGTATTCTATACATAATATGTTTAAAATAGATGTATGGATATAAATGCTGAGTTCCTGTTCTGGAGTTATGATTTTTTACTGGTGATTAATAGTTTGGAGTGTTATACGAGCCTTCTTCATATATATGATCATTGTTACTTCACTCATTTTAGGAAAATAACATATTTATTCAGTTTATGTCAAGAATTATGGCAAAATCGTGCAGTCCTTACTAAAATCTCTTTACAAATATAGTGTACTTTTAAAATTATGTGCATTCTGGATTGTTTATGATTCTACCACTGTTGTTAGTTAAAAAAAAGAAATTTTTAAAAGTTATTACTATTTTTACTCATAAGTATATATTATAAAGTAAAATATATTTTACTTATAAGTAAGTAATGCAATGGCTTAACTTTGATATATTTCTCTTGTTAATGCTGTTAAGCAACATTTGTCAGTGATTGGCTGTATCATTTTTATAATCACTATAGCTATAGTAAGTGTGGTAATCTAATATATCTGAAACATAAAATACAAGGGGTTTTCCCAAAGTTCTAATTTAGAATGAGATGCCTGACTTTAGTCAGGGAATAGGCAGGTATCAAGTGTTTGCTTCTGCCTTTGAAAGCTTACCCCTAAAACTGTTCTGGCAAATGAAGTGATATGCACAGTATCTTGCTTTTTTTACTTGACTCAGAGCTGCTCAGTTGCAGCAGATCTGCTGCTGCAGACAGTTATTGGGAAAAATCATTTGGATGTTATGGTAGATGCCTGTGATTTTTTGAAGCAGAAAGACTGAATTCTGTCATTTTACAGCTCCAAAGTTCTGAGTACCTTAATTTTCAGATTCCTACATCTTTGAAATTGTAGGTGGTGCAGATTTGCTTAGGTCATTCTTAAAAAAAAGAAAGTCTTACCTTAACTATAAGGGCACCAATGTCCACAGAATATGAAAATGTCAGTCAGAAAGGCTAAACTTCTAATGTGTTGATTGGCACGCTTATGTAATTTACACTAAATATCAGGGGCTGTATAAGATAACAAACTAAGAAATGAGATTGATATTGCTGATCTACAAAGTGGGTCTGTTTAATGAAAGGCAAAATGTTACTGAGCTGAGACTGCTGTTGGCTTTAAAAGCATATAATGCCCCGTACACCATCAACTAACTAGTGGATATTTCAGATGTTACATAAGTGGTAAACATTTATTTTTCCTTACAGTGGTGTAGTCCTGGGTGTACTCAGTAAGCTTTCTGTAATGGAGGACAGTGATTATTTATAGGAAAAATTAGTTGTAGTAGGTGTTTTGCGTACGACCATCTTTTTTGTTCGTTGCCAAAATGTAAGCTTACCGTTTAAAAACAGAGAATAATTGTAGTGAAAGAAAAGATTGGTAAACACTGAGATAAATTATGTCAAAGAAAGTGGGGTTTAGAGTCAGTTCATCTCCTGCCTGAAATAGAGCAGGGGTTGCATCAAGTAGGGTTCTTCAGGCTCTAA